CCCCAAAACCCCAAAACCCCAAAACCCCAAAACCCCAAAACCCCAGTCTAAAACCTATATATTGAAAACATCCAGTATAACCTTTCTGAATTTGCCATTTAGAGGTGATTAGGAATTTTAGAAATTTCTGAAAAATTAATGAATCAAAATTTTTACAAGCTTGGGATTATTTTTGAATAATTTCGAAAAATCTCAGGTGAGTAGAGCAGATATATGCAGCCTAAAATCTTGAGATTTTTTTGTAAAATTACTGAAAATTTTGCTTATAAATTTGGAGAAAATACTGGACATCAACCTTATCCATAAGTGGTATTAAAACCCGTATTAACTCAGCTGAATATATTAGAAGTTAACTAAAGAGAAGGCTATCACAAGAACATGTTCATATCAATGTTAGATCAGCCTTTGAGTTAATTTCCCCACATGCCTTAGAAGGAAAGATCTAGGCTGGATTAAGTCTACTTCATGATTTCTGATAAAACCATGATTTATGAACTTCTGACCTGGATATTTTAAGCCAGAGAAAAGACAAGGCAAATCTTCATGAAAAAAATTACCAAAATTAACGTTATTTTGATGGGATATTAATATGAAGAGCCTAGGATATCACTTAAAACTCTAGAGAGATGCTCTAGCCAGCTTCAATTCCTATTTAGTTAAAATTCTAGAAACTTAAATTGCAAGTAACTGAAGTATTATGAAGGAAGTTATTAAAGAGAGCGGAAAAATTGATTCGTCATTATATTTCTCCTGTTCCTCAAGGAAATGTTCTTTTTCTCCATTTTCTTAGGAATTATACAGTCTTGTTCATCATTGGAGCTGACTGTCGAGGTAGCTTCATTGTTATAACTCTCATTGAGTGGGTTCTGAAGTGTAGTACTCTGAGCTACTTTAAGAATCTGAGGCGTTTTAATTTCCCTTTCAAAACTCATAATCAAACTTCTATCAGTGGATCTCTTGAGTTTATCTACCAATTTTCCTGGAGAAAGGAATCTAAACCTCGTTTCTTTTGCGGAGGCTATCTGTTGCTCAACTCGGGTCATCATCTTCTGGTGTATCATCTCTCACTTAGATATTTCCTCTTGAGAAAGCATGGCTGGGAACTCCTCTCTCTTTTCTTGGCTAAAAACTCGCTTCTCCTTTGGAAACGTGAATACATCGCCTTCTCGAGAAGACAAGACCATTTTCCGGTTCCTGCCTCTCCTAGCCCGAGGCGGTGAATTGGCCTGCAGCGGTGAGAGAGCCTTGGTCGGAGAGGACAACTTCTTTTGGTTAATGATCTTGTAATTATTAAGCAAATCTTTCTTAAAACTAAATGAATTAATGACGTGTATCCTTACCTCAATGGTTTAACCCGTCGAGTGACAATCTTCTCTCTTTTATTTCTGAAATTTTCCAATCCCAAGGGTGATCTTTGGTAACTATGGTAAGGTTAATACATTCAATATCTTTGAAATAGTAGTAAATGATGCCTTTTAGTAGTAACTCATATTTCTGGAGCATAAGGCGCCTTAAAATGGAGAGAAGTCACTCTGCAACCAATAGAAATCTAAACTGGGAAACTCACCTTTTGCCCTATCAAGTTATTCTTCAGGTTATTAAACTTGATCTTGAGGTCTAAATCACATGATGAGAATTATTAATATGAGGAGTAACTTAGGAGTAAACTTTTGTCAGCTTTTAGCCAAAGGATCATGCAGAAATTCATGGTGGTTACCTTTTTCCCTTCGTTTGCCAAGCGCTTGCTTTGTGTTGGTAAATCCACCCTTGAACTTAGGGCTCAAAATGGTCATGTTGACCATCCTTTTGAGATTCCTTGGGCTCTTTATCCCATTGTTTTGAGTTGGGCTGAACATTATTATAAATTATTTAATATTTCGATCTGGGTTCCTCTTTGTGGGGTTTTGGGGTTTTGGGGTTTTGGGGTTTTGGGGTTTTGGGG